AACCAGAGAAAGATCAATTTGGAATAGTTGGAATGCAAGTAGCTGAAAATATGTTGCATCTGAATGTACTTATTAGAGATAAAGCAAATGTTCATAGATATTTTCATTTACAATCAGTTGAAATTCCTGTATGATTATCAAATATGAGCGTTGTAACTAAATTTGTGAAAATCCTTTTACTTTTACGAAATATATTAATTACAAATTTGTCCCTACTATATTATGCATCTATTTTTATATCAGAAAAATAAAAAGAAGATAGTACTACAGTTTCCACTCCAATGTGAGATGATTAGAGTTTCTTTTTTTTTTGTAATTTATATTACATATCATTATTTTTGTATAAAGCATCAGATAATAAAATTTTTTTGGCAAATTTAAAATTTCTTGGCAAAACTTTGTGAACTAAGTTCACAAAGTGAAATTACATGAATTTTTTTTATTTTGAATGTAAACATACAGTATATAAAATTATTTTTGAAAATGACATCTAAGATTGATTTACTTAGGTAAGAAAATGTCAGACTTATAGCTAAGAATACTGAATTTAAGGCTAAGTATGATAAAGCCAAAGATGAGATTACAAAATTAAGAATCAAGCTCAGAAATAGAATTGAGGAATTAGAAAAAGCTAGAATAAATACTGCTGTTGAGAATACTAAATGTGATGTTGAAAATATCAGGCGTGATGCTGAGAATGCTAAGCTTAAGGTTAGAGTTGCAAAGTTGAAAAAAGATTCTAGGTATTCGCGAAAGGATTTCTCTTCTGAAAAACCTGCTGATATACCTAACTTCATAGTAGCAAATGAAATAGTATTTGCCAATTCAAAGTCATCAGAGAAAAAGGTCATGAACTCTTTTCTGAATGAGGTGAATAAAAAAATAGTTAGTGATAAAATTAGGCAGAAGAAGCTTGCAAAAGTGGAAACCATTTCCTCTGAAAAGGATAAGCAGATTTCAGTTGACAAAAGGGTGCTTCGTAAGGAAAATTAGAAAAATAAAAGGAAAAATTCATTTGAAAAGTAACAGAAGAAAAGAATACTAAAATGACCCTAGATGATTTGATACCTTCAGTATCTTCCCAAAGAGAATCAGATTCAAGCGCTAATATTATAGAAATGGAAATGCCAATCTTTTCTCTTTTGTATAAAAATTTTGTGATACCGTAACTCTTGCTGATCATGCGACTTAAGAAGCTATCTTTTGTTACTACTAATTTGAGGAGGCTCTTATTCAGAGACGAGATAAGATCACATCTGAAAAATATGTTAATCTGGAGTCTAATACAGTCAGTAGAATTTTAAATATAGAAGTTAAAGCTCAGCTTCCTGCAGTTACTTTTGATGCACTTTTATGGAAAAGAATTGAGCAGGCTAAGAAGCTCTATACACTTTTAATTTGATAGTAGTTAACATAAATTAGCCCTGTAAAAAATAGTTTTTTAAGAGAAATACAAATATAATATTGTAAATAATAGAACTATGCAGTTATCTTAATTTCACGCTATTCACATTTAATAAGGTAAGATCCAGCTTTATACTCATCTTATTTTTCTTCTTTATTATGACTTAATTCGTATAATAGGCAGATGTAGTCTCCACATGATGTCTTATTAGTAATCTCATAATAATCAAAATTTTTACTACTACATTCTATATTTAAATTAGGATATTGATCCAATATCTTTTTGCAGAAATAGGTGCGGTCATAAACTAAGAGTTAAAAAATAAGTGATACCACCTTAGTATCAATTTTTTTTGAGACGATTCATT